ATCATTCACTAAAATACTTGGGAATGATGTTTTTACTGTTTGTGTATGTTTTGAAGAGAGGCATATAATGTATGGGCTTTTTATTTTGTATACAATATTTACTCATGATATTAAAAGAATATAGTATATATTTTAGAATCATTTTTTTTAAATAATGCTTAAATTACCTAAGTTTTAAATAAAAGAATAGTTAAAAAGTATTACATAAAAAATATCTTTCAAATTTTCATGATTTATTTTTTTTAAAATTTCATCAAGAAAGAAAACTTTATAATCTACACTGTAAAACATTCCATATCAAATCACGGTGTAAAGTGCCGGCACTTTGGGTGCACAATCTGTAAAATCCATTGAACCGTAAAATCCATTTTTACCTTTAAATTTTATATCGTAATTTTACTGTAATATTTATTTAAAGTCATTTAGTAACTTTATGGTAAATATTTCTGTAAAAATTAGGGTCTATCAAAAGTTTTTGTTCCGTTACATGTTCCGGGAAAAAGTTGCGGTATCCTAAGTGTCAGTACTTTTTACAGTAATTGGATAGGGAATATTTTACAGTATCATCAAATTATAAAATAGGATCAAGGTGTTTTCACTTTAACAAACAATTTATAATACGTCGTTAATATAAAAGATACTGTAATTAAAATGGTTTGAATGTGTACGCGGAGAAAAAATTCTAGAAAAAGTACAGTACTTTATGGTAATATCAGCATTAAATTCGAAAAAAGCATTAAATCCGATAAATTAAACCGAAATATACGGTATTTAAACCACGCCAATTGGTAATTTTTCCGTTCAAATGTTAAGAGTATGCCGGTAATTCTAGTTTTCAAACTTATGGTTCTTTTTACTACACATTTAGTAAAAAATACAAAACTGAAAAGTAAATTTAACCGAATAAAATTCTTTACTAAGGTATTTTGATAAAATTACCAAGTTTTACCAAATTTTATCACCCATTAACCATATATCACCCATAATTGGATTATTCATAAAACCATATTTCATAGTTAATTTTACCAAAGCACTTCGATAAAAATTACCAAGCTTTTTAGCATTCCCATAGAGACAGAAATACTGTAAATGTTACTATTCGGATACTTTTAACCATACCTTTTTCTCAGTATATAATGCGATACTGCATAACTTATTTACAAATAGTATGTTAATGTTTTCAAAATATTTTGTTTAACATTAAAACTAAACTTCAGTTTATAAATCAAACAAAGCTAAGCAAAACTAAAATAATTTCTTATTGAAATTAAATTTTCATTAAAGAAGTTTTTTGCAGATGCAATTATTATTTGATTTTTTTAACACAATATTTGGCAAATATTAATATCCCTTACAAAAAAGTATTATCATTCATTATTAATATTAAATTCAGTCAAGACTTTATATATTCCAATAGTGTAGAGAAGAATCCTAAAATTATTGGTTTGATATTTGAACAAGCATTTGTTATCTGATTTGAGTAAGAGAAATAAATTTGAATACAAAAGCCTAAAACTTTTCCTTAAAAAATATGAAGAATTGCTTAATACCTGATAAATTTTCTGATATTAGTTTGTGACTTTACTTAACTGTTTAAAATTTTATATAAAATTTGAAATTTTCAATATATTGTGTATTTTAAAAATTAGAAATACCTTAGTATTTCTTGATAATTATGATAGGTAAACTAAAAGAAATTATTAAATAAATATTAAGTGTTATATGTGAACATTAATCAACACACAGAAATTGGAATTCAGTTTACTGTTTTTAATTGTATTCAAGTTATAACAATATTATTTTTTATATTTTTCATACTATAGCATATCTACCACTACAAAATTACAATTACAATTCACTAGTATATAAGACATGCTAACTCAATTCTATGAAGGGGTACCTTTTCATAGATGACGGTTGACATTGTCGTTTACTCCTCATTCCCACATTGAATTACATGAAACTATTAATAAAGGGGGTACCTCTTCATAGATGAAGGTTGACATGGTCGATAACAACTCGCCCCACATTGGTGACCTTCGGACGTGATGTGAGCACGCCTACGTTGGCAGAAACGCCCACTTCGATATGCATACGCCTACATAGACAGTAACACCTACTTCGATGGATGGTCAACATTGAAAAGTTAACTTGCTACTTGTGACTGCTACATCGTCCACATCCTTACGCTGTTGTTACTCAGTCTCGCACGTGCAACGTATACACTCGACTGCTTAAGGCAACAAAGGTGCGACCACGACGGTGAATTTAATACACCTCTCACGATCATTACTCAAAAAGTACGGTGATCTTAATACAGCTCTCGCGGCTTCTCACAAAAAAATAGCATTAAATCAACTAGTGGTATCCGTTCATCGAATTTATATCACAGATATAATTCTGGTAGGGGAGTACTGTAGCGTATCTACCACTACAAAATTAGTATATAAGAAATGTTAACTTAATACTATGATGGGGTACCTTTTCATAGACGACGGTTGACATTGTCTGTAACTCACTCCCCACAATAAGTAAGAAAAAAGCATTTTATTCAAGAGCATATAATATTTCAAATAGAGTAGAATATTGTAATGCAAATGAGGTACAAAATTCGATGATTGGCTTGGAATTTAGAAAAAATCATGTGCATTACAACAAATATTGTTTAGATATAAATGGAAAAACTTCATATGAAATGTTGTCCATATTCACTTAATTACATACCCTTGGAAACGAATTCCTTAAATTAAATAAAATTACGTTTTAACTTGCTATAAATAAATTTAACCGACACAAAAAAGTTTAATAAAATCATAGCATTACATGTATATGCTTGTATATTAATTTAAATAGATTGAAAAAAGCTAAAAATTCACAATTGAGTGATCTGACATTTAATAACATTATAATTAATTTTTAAAGAGCAATCAGTTTTCGAAAAATATAAAAAAATATATTAATTTCTTTTAAATAAACTACAGTGTTACAGATTTATGTTTTGCATAATAAATAATATTTTTTATTAATATTTTTGAGATCATATGAAATGAAAAACATTTTATTTCCATAAAATTATAAACATTAAACATTACCTAGTCAAAACATAATTTATTAGATTTACAAGTCCTAAATAATGTGTTAAAATTTATGAAGATGGAAAAAAAATAAACTGTTATTATAAGCTAAGCTTAGAAAAGCATTTTTTCGTTGTATAATTTATGTAACTAGTAAAATCTCTGTAAGAAAACAAAGAGAAAATTAACTATTTTTTTAGCTATCTAAAAATTCTTGCTTACGTTTTTATAAATTAACCTTGCTCTTCACAAATAAAATCAGTCCTTGTTATTAGCTAATACAAAATTGGTAATAATGATTATTGATCATATTATGGAAAAATAATTGATAGCCATTTTATATATTACATAAATTAATTGAAAGACAATGCTTTCTTTATGATTCATTTATTGTTTCTATATTTTCAGCCAATTTTTTATAGCCAGCAGTAATTGCTTTCCTTCTTAAACAGTTTAATAAATTTTTTAAGTCTTAAATTTTGCTTTGTCAAATAAACGTATCTGAGCTCATTATTTACGTTAAAGTTTATGATTATTCTAAAAAAAAACTTAACATTTAATACTTTTAAAGGTCACAAATATCACAGACTTGTTTTAACGTTTAAAAATAAAGCAATATCATCCAAAATATAAAAGAAAGTATTTTGAATAACGATAGTTTTATATCTATATTTTAATAAACTTTACTTAAAAGAAGTTTTTACGTATTTATCATAACAAATTTTTCTTTGAGTAAATAGAATTTTAGTTGAGTGAATATAAAAATAAGTTATAATTTTCGAATAAAATGTATTTAGCATGTATTCATCTTCAAAATATAAAAAAACTAAATACATAAAAATGAAAAAAATAACATTTAAAATTTAAATTAGCTAACTAAATATTCAAATATATAGTTAACAATTGTTCTCAAAAATATGTGCTTTAATCAATCTTATGCAGAAGAAAGCTTAGAGGGTTTTTTATGTGCAGAAAATGCTCTTTTTTTATTATGATTTTTACATTTATTATGATTTTTACATTTATTATGATTTTTATATTTAACTTGATTCTTATGTTTTTGACACGTTTTTTTATATTTGTTATTGTTTTAAATCAGTATTGTTTTCATACTCATAATGAAACCTTTACTGCTAAAATGCATACATACTGATTTAAATGTATATAAAAGTAACTACTTCCTTTTATAATTATAAAACTTGAGTAACTGGATTCTTAACTATTTATAGCTTTAGTAATCTTCTTAAACAACATTAAATTTTTTTTCACATGATAAAATGGAAAACTTCTTAACTATTTATTTATTTTGTACTAAATCTTCCAATTGTTTGGATACTGCGCAGTTCTATTTAGAAACTATTTCATAAATAATTGTAGAGTATTTTCTTAATCTCCCTTTAACTATGTTTCCTATGATTACATCTTGTATGTGATTAATTTGCATTATATAGTATGTCCATAGTAAGAACTCCCTTTTCCCACGAATTTAATTTTGTCTACTGCTACAAAAACAAGAAATAACGCATTTCCAAGAAGAGAGCTTCTTTTCCACCTGATTCCCTTTCCCATGTTGACCCAAACCCAAAACCAGATTTAAATGTAGACCTAATATCCCTTCTTGAAATAGTCAAACCTCGCAACCATATTCACAGCTACTTTTCCAACTTACTGGCGAGAGGAGTTTTTATATAGACGGACAAAAAAAGTTATGATTCAAACATGTTTAGCATTTGAATTGTGAACTAACATGAAAAACATCATCAGTTTAGTCTTTTACACTACAAATGTTTAGTTAAAGTTAACTGCCATCTGTTTACGTTTTATAATTTACTAAAATAAAAATTAATAAACTTTAAGTTTATTCATCTCTAAACGTTGCATATGATCTTATTCTATAAATAATAATATCAATATTTCTCTTTTTAGTTGGACGTCAACCACTGCAACTTCCTGTTATGGTCTTTATTCATGGTGAATCTTATGAATGGAACGCTGGAAATCCATATGATGGGCGTGTCTTAGCCAGTTACGGCAATGTTGTGGTGGTTACTATCAACTACAGGCTTGGCGTCTTAGGTTCGTATCTGTACTTTTTACACACACTCAAAAATTTATATTTAAATAAATGGATTTGTAATCACCACTACACATAGAACCACTTGTTCTTATCTGGGTAATCAACGCATCCATTATAACACGTTAGACTATATTATATCTTATATTTCATAGTAAAGAGATTTTGCGGCTCCCCTTATCCAGCGACTCCTACCAAAATTTGAGGTGTTTTTGAGTATTATTTGAAGTTTATTTCAAACTTCCCAAGGTATATAATCTAGGTGCCTGAGCACACTTAAGGTTGTTTTGAAGATGATAAAGATATACTTTAGAGCAACTAACTAGCAAATAAGTATACTTGAGGTATGAATTCACTCGACTGTAACCAAAAGTTTTGCTGAGATATACACCGAAGAGCCTTTACATTATGACCACCCTGCTAATAACATGTAGGACCACCTTTAGCCCTCAAAACTGCTCCGCCGTGGCATTGATTCCACAAGGAGCTGATAGGTAGTCTAAGGTATCTGGTACCAAGCGCTCACCAACTGGTCCTGCAATTCCCTCACATTGCGAGGGGGTCACGAGGCAGCACGAATTTGGTTTTCCAAGTAGGACCACAAATGCTCTATTGGATTAAGTTCAGGTGAATTTGGGGGCCAAGACATGACTTGAAAGTCACTGGAATGTTCCTCGA